AATGAGGCCTTCAACCCAGGTCTTGTGAGAGATCAACCAGTTACAGGAATCCACACTTCATTTACACTAAAGATCATTTAGGAACAGAGATAGTATGCAAGATCAGTCACTCGGGGTAACACTGAGGTATCTGCAATTTTTCCATGGCACCAATCTGACAATGATTTAATTAGTCAGAAAATGAATAAGTTAAATAGCAGTTTAGTCAGCGAGGGAGTGAGTGGGAGAGTGCGTGGCAGTGCGCCAAAAGATCAAACACTGTTCCCCGTGCTGAAGTCTTCGAGAATTCACTACCCATATTCCACATCATTCTTGGCCAATCATAGCTTCCCCAGCTACCCACGCACACGACCTTCATCTCACAGCAGGAGCTAAGTACCTCCCAGCTATATAGCTTTCATTTGCGACCACCTCCACCATCTAACCTCTTTACTAAGCACCCACACCGACAAATTATCAGGATATAGCTGGTTGAAACTCCCTGGATTATTGAGAAAATAGTGGTATTATAAAATTTAAAAATTGTATAAAAATCATATCCCACATAACATCATGTCCTGTCAGACACCAGCCCATGCAGAGGGAATAACTGGAAAGGAAGTAAAACGGATATTCTGCTAACAGAACCCAAAGAGTAACAGTTAACTAAGTAAAATAGGGACTGCTACAGTGAAAAGTTTTGTCCCCCAAGGCACAGTACTTGCCCCTCTTCACTTTCTCATTTCTGACACAGCCAGGGACATAAATCATAGCACTCTATCATCCTTTGCAAATGATACTAGAATCTGCATGAATGGTATCCGCAGAAGTGAAAGAGCCTCCAAGCTGACATTAAACCAAGTCTTCCAGTGGGCTACTAACAACAAATTTAAATTACTACGTTACGGAGGAATGTAGGAAATAAAAACAAGATCTGAACACAAGACAAAAATCAAGTTACTTAATAGTGCACAAGTGTAATGTGAAAGATATGCGAGAGATAATGTCAAATCTCAAGGAGTGCAACAATGACATTATTGCACCTGCAAGGAAAATGATACGTTGGATAACTAGAACCTTCAAAACAAGGAATGACAAGCTAGTGATGATAGTCTTCAGGTCATTCGTTCTCTCTGTGCTGGAATACTGCTGTGTCCTAACGGTCTCCTTCAAGGCAGGGGAAGTTGCAAAACTCGACAACACACTAAGAACCTTCACAGCTCGTATAAACTCCATCCCCTAAATTACTAGGAGTGCGTGAAGCCTCTAGAACTGTGCTCTTTAGAATGTAGGCGAGAAAGATACATCATAATATACACTTGGAAGATTCTAGAGAAACTGATCCTAAACCTACACACTAAACTACCACTTACGTATAGAAGAGGCTTGGTAGACAGTGCAGGATACCTCCATTGAAAATTATTATGATTATTATAATCAAAGGTGAAGCGCTAAACCCGGAGAATTGTACAGCGCCTGGGGGGGGGGGGGATGTGGAAGGCATTCAGGCTTAATTCGGGGAACTGGAGCACAGATCCAATTCCCTAAATCAAGAGCCCCTCACCAACATCAAGGAACCTTCCTTGAGGGGACCTCCATTGAAAAGCAGGGAGGATGAGCACCCAGAGGGAACTCAATAAGTGTAAAGGAACCACAACTCTTAAGCATTCTCTCTTCAAACACAAGAGGGATCACCAACAACCCCCACTAGCTGTCTTTAAGAGGAAACTCGGCAGATTCCTCAAATCAATTCTTCATCAGCCAGGCTGTGATGCATATATTGGACTGCGAGTGATAGGTACCAACAGCCTGATCTATCAGGTCAGCAACCAAGAGGTTTGGTTTAGGACCAGGCCACTGGGCTGGTGACCTCCAGAAGCAACTTCAGGTAACCTACAGGTCTTGTGAGATTCACACCTTATCTGACACCAACCCACACCTCAAAGGGGCACTGTTAACAAAACACTTCATAGAAAGAAAGGAACACGTAAAAGCTTTTGGTGTAATAATATCAGCTGACCTGACATTAAGAGAACATAATGTAAATGATGTTGAAAGCCAGAAAAAAAGACAAGAGTGGATAATGAGAGTTTTTAAAACAAACAGAAATAATGCCAATGGCGATACTTATAAATCACTTGTGCTTTCTCACTTAAAATACTTTTCCTGGTTGACGATTCCATTGAAGATAGGAGACATATCAAGAATGGAAAAGATAAAGATGGCGTTTACTGCCCGCATTGTGTCAATAAAGCATTTAAACTACTGGGAACTCCACAGACTACTACTAAGAATGTACTTTCTGAAGTGAAAGAAAGAGATTCAGTTACCAGATTTTATATATCCACACTACCATAACAACGTACTCAAGTGAGAGATATGAGGGTAAGTGTAAAATAGACCCAGTGAAAAGCAGAGAATCATAGGGACAGTAACAGAGCACTGTATCAATATACGTGGTCCAAGACCATTCAACCTGCTACCAGCAGATATAAATATTAAATAACAAAAAAAGGCACAATACCATTCTTGTACTACTACTACTACCACCACCACCTCTTCCTGCCTATATATAGCCGTCCTGCTCCACTTCTGGTTAGTGTGACTTTGTAAATGGTCCAAGTCGGACCGAAACGTCGTCGTAAGCTTCTCTCTTTTATGTGCGGGTTATTTTTGTACAGATATAAATATTGCCGGAATAATTGTAAAAGTTTCCCAGAGGAAACTGGATTACTACCTTCACTGAGTGCAAGATCAGCCAAGCTATGATGGGTATGTGGGCCAGCTGGCCGCCAACAAGAACAGCTTGGTTAACGAGGCAGTCAACAGAGAAGCTGGCGGGAGTAGGAACTCTTGAAACCGGTCACAGGCATGGTGAGTCCCACGTCTTGTGAGACATTGACTCACGTCTTGTGATACACTGACCCCACGTCTTGTGGAACACTGACCCCACGTCTTGTGGAACACTGACCCCACGTCTTGTGGAACACTGACCCCACGTCTTGTGGAACACTGACCCACGTCTTGTGGAACACTGACCCACGTCTTGTGGAACACTGACCCACGTCTTGTGGAACACTGACCCACGTCTTGTGGAACACTGACCCACGTCTTGTGGAACACTGACCCACGTCTTGTGGAACACTGACCCACGTCTTGTGGAACACTGACCCACGTCTTGTGGAACACTGACCCACGTCTTGTGGAACACTGACCCACGTCTTGTGGAACACTGACCCCACGTCTTGTGGAACACTGACCCACGTCTTGTGGAACACTGACCCACGTCTTGTGGAACACTGACCCACGTCTTGTGGAACACTGACCCACGTCTTGTGATACACTGACCCCACGTCTTGTGATACACTGACCCCACGTCTTGTGGAACACTGACCCACGTCTTGTGGAACACTGACCCACGTCTTGTGGATGCATAATCTGCAGAAATTCCTGGACAAATATGCTTCCTCTTGTAATGACAACCGGGAGGGGAGAAGGTGGTCATTAATGTGATTGCCTGGTGATAGCCTTGCTGGGGTAATACTACTTGAGTTGAACCTTAACTCGGGGAGCTGCTCGTCCGTGTCGACCAGGCAGCGTGTGAAACAAGGTAATTGTAGTCCCCATGTTGAGAGGTAGGGGAAGGTGAGAGAGAGGAGAACGGGGAGGAGAGGGGAAGGGGAGAGCTGGGAAGTGGACAGAGGGCAGAGTGGGGAGAAATTGAAGGGGAGAGAAGAGGAGAGGAGGGTGGAGACAGAGGAGAGGTTATAAGAATGGCGGAGCACTGGAATAGACCTATTGGTCCATGCTAGGTAGGTCCACTCATGCATATACAGTACCTATCTAACCTCTCTTTAAAATACCGACTGTACTTGAGAGGCTGTTCCACTTATCCACAACTTTATTGCCAAACCAGTGCTTTCTATAACCTTTCTAAATCTAAATTTATCCAATAATGTAAATGCGTCTTGGATATTTTCACCATATTATTAATATTCTCTTCTATTTATTCTGTTTTTTCATTTCTTTTCAGAGTGCAACTCTAGTTTAGCCTTCTATTTATCTTCGTAAAGATAAATTGATTTAGAAAGACATGTCACAGACACCAGGACATATCAGAAAGCGTTTCGGTTCTGGGACCATGATCAAGGTCCCAGGACCGAAACGTTTTCTAATAAATATATCGTAGTGTTTGTCACGTGTCTTTCTAAATAATTTTCGTAAGCTTTCTGATATATGGAATCACCTTCATCATCCGTCACTGTATGTTTTCCAGAGCATTTATGCCCAGAATTGAGCAGCATAATTTTAAATGAGGCCTTACCAAGGTGGATGTCCCATCAACCAGGCTGTTAATGCTAGCCGCAAGATGTTCAGTGTATGCTGCATAGCCCAACTGATCAGGAACTGACTTCAAATTATTATGTTCTTCCTTGAAAACAGCCAGCGATTTACTGTTATCAAGAACTTAAAAATCTTGACGTACTGATGTAGTGAGGGCTTGTTAATTTATCTTGAGGCTGTGTGTATTGGTCGTAATATTTGTAAATAGTTTCAACCATTTACGAATTGTTAAGCATTTCAAAATCTCTTTCTAGGTTCACTGCATGTGGCAGCAAGATTTGATGAAATAGTTTATCACTAACGTTATGTCCCAGATAAGCATGGGCGCCGCCCATACTTATCTGGGATCTGGCTGAGTTTCTTAAGTACTGCATACTTTGCTGCAGAGTGTGTAGGTTCGAAACCTGCTGTGGACCGATGTACAGTATATATATATATATATATATATATATATATATATTATATATATATATATTATATATATATAATACATACATACATACATACATACATACATATATATATATATATATATATATATATATATATATATATATATATATATATATATATATATATATATATATATATATATCCCAAATAATGAGAATTACATGTCAGAGGCATGACCCCCAAAGTGCCCCCAGGTAATGACCTCACTTCTTCCCGTGTTGCAGGGTCCCCAGCCCGGCCAGCCCTTCAAGTTCACCGTCCCGGAGTCATGTGACAGAATGAAAGAAGAGTTTAATTTTCTACAAGCACAGTATCACAAGTAAGTTGTCAACCTCCCTCCATCTGTGTGTATGTGTGTGTACTCACCTAGTTGAGGTTGCAGGGGTCGAGTCCTAGCTTTGTGTGTGTGTGTGTGTGTGTGTGTGTGTGTGTGTGTGTGTGTGTGTGTGTGTCGTAAGCTGACAACCTCCCTTTATGTTTTTGTTTCTACGTCTGTATGTGTGTCTGTATTATAGGTAGTCATCTCTACTTGTCTCTCTGCCATATACGCCATTTACTTCTGTATATCAACGTACGAGGGCCCAAACTATTAAAAGTCTTACCCGAAAACGTTAGAAATACTGATGGAACAACTGTAGAAGTCTTTCAAGATAAAACTCGACAATTTCCTCCGACGAGTGCCAGATCAACCAGGCTGTGGATACTTGGGCCAGCGGGCCGCCAGTAGCAACAGTCTGACTAGGCAAGCACCTGACAAGACTGGCTTAAAGTAGGGCTGCGAGAGTAGAGTTCATAAGACAAATCAAAGACGGTTGTATGTCTGTAGAGCAAGCAGTTAATTTTGTCTGTACGTAATATGTTTGTCTGTGTGTCTGTGAAACATGTCTGTGTGCTTGTGAAAATTGTCTGTCTTGAGTAAAAGTACTGAACACCATATGTCTGTGAAACATGTTTGTGTGTCTTAATTACAAGCCCTCAACCTAGTGTGCATGTCTGTGAATTTTCTATATCTGTATCGCAAGTGGTCAACCCATGTTTGTTTGTTAAGTCTGTGATACACTTAAGTATATGCACTGTGTGTTGGTACACAGAGACGTGGTTGAGTGTACTGCAAACTCAAGCATGCGTGTTGCAAGCAGCAACAACGTATTTGAACAGGTGGCCTGGCAGGTAAGAACAGCCCCACCAGCACACTCTCAGGTGTATACACCTGTTACACTCAGGTACAAAAGAGTGTTTTTAACTATGGCGTCAAACCTGAACACCAAAATCACTCCGTCTGACAACAAGAGAGTTAGTTGACGGTGCAAAATACCTCTACTAAAGACAGTTGCAACGACTAAGAGTGAACACGATGAGCGTCAGAGTATTACAATAGAAAATGGGAGCTCTGCAAGCCGGGTTCAATGATAAGGCTTTGGAGGCTTGTTACTTTATTTGAGGTCGTCTACCCAGGCAGTGTGTTATGAAGACGGGCAAGACCCATGCCTACGAGGGAGTAGGTTTCTTGTCTGAATGACGGTGGCTGCCAGAGTGAGGCAGGGTAAACGTGGTGTGGGCTGAGCTTGGTAGGCACTACGTGTCAGCACCATAGTGCCGTGAAATATGAACCCAACTGGGCATACATCGCTCGGCCACCTACCCATGGTCGTCCTCGACTATGAGTGACTGAAAAAAAAACTCGGTCTCTCTCTTTTGCAGGAACAGGGCACAGAACACAAATAAAAACATATATATACATGTGGACATGGATTAAAAAAAACTTCTTATAGGGAGGGAAGAAAAAAAAGGGTGTGATAAACATTATGGTCCAAGGCAGTGAGCCTTGGCAGGCTTCACTGCATGCCTTCCTGCGTCTAGACAGGTACTGCAACACAGGAGACACCGCTGCAGCTGAGCTGTGACGTAATGGGGTATGGTCTCCTGTGGAATGGTGCAGGGTTCACTCAACCTGGGGCACAACCTGCTGGTGCTCTCGAGTGAGGCGTTGTCAGTACTTGGCAACTGGGCAGGACTTCTTCTGGCAAGTGACTCAGGAGGACATTTTTCGACTGGTACTGTCGCTGGGGCTGTCACTGCTGGCGAGAGTGGAGTGAGTCGTAGCAGGGACGACTCAGGCAAAACATCTGGGAGTCGTAGCAGCATACACCGTAACAGGAGTGAGGGGGCTAGCAATCAAAGTGACATCATACTTTGTGCAGGCTGCTCACTGAAGCCGTGACACGAGTCAGTCACCTGCCGATAGGGCTACTGCGGCTTGACGATGTCATCCTCTCGACAGAGTGAGAAAGAGCAGAGGTTAGAATGAGTGTCCCTACACTGGGTCTACTCACAAATGCACTCTGATGGTCAAGAGATGGAGTGATATGAATTTCAATATTGAGTCGTAGCAAGTACGACTTAGGCATGGCGTCTACGAGCGGCGAGGATAGCTACTATCCATACACGGGGCTAGATACTCGTAACCTGATGCCTAGACTGACTAGTATCAGTCGTCGAATGGTCACAGTGCGGTGACATGTAGCACTAGGGTGCTACCAATGGTCTGGGCTCAGACCATACGGTGGTCTACACACACATCTGGGCTCAGACCACTTCATCAAAGGACACACGTAAAACTGTACACACCCGCACTGCACATGCGGTTACAACATGGCTTGCACTAGTAAATGATGCTTTTCTTTGCAAAAAAATCGACACTAAGGCATTCACGAACATGTGAGAACACAAGTACAGGAACGTTGACTGAGAGGAATTAACACGTGACATATCTTCTCTCAATCGTCCTGGACAATACTGAATACAAATTTCTCACTGTGAAACTATAACACTGTCGGTGTGATATCATGTACTGATGTCAGGCGTGATGTCATGAGGGATGTCGTGGGGTGACATCGTGAGGTAACGTCAGGACAGACGTCCAGGGTGACGTCAGGCAGCATGGTGACCGTGAGGTGATGTCGGGGCAGACGTCCTGGGGTGACGTCGGGAAGACGTCCTGGGTGACGTCGGGCTGACGTCCTGGGTGAGGTCTCGAGGTGACGTCGCGAGGTGACAGCCTGGGCGATTAATCAGACCAAGAAGCCTGGTTTGGAGCCGGGCCGCAGGGGGAGTCGACCCCCTAAAATGTCCTTCAGATACCGGGGTTCTGAAAACTCTCGCTCCCTTCATGCATGAAGGGAGGGTGTTGAAAACTCTCGCTCCCTCCACGAACAAAGGACAAATCAAACGAACAGAGAATAATCGTTGCGAATAAAGACTAATTATACGACTCCTTGATGGCGAGATAATTTAATAACTCTTTTGAGAGCACTTTGTTCCAGACAGAGGATAATCAACAGTGACTGCTGGTGGTGGGGGTTGTGGTGGTGGTGATGGTGGTTGTGGTAGTGGTGGTGGTGGGTCTGCCAGCAAGGCTACAACAGTTGAACAGGAAGACCAGGAAAACCAATGAATATGCACAGTAATCATTGTTCAGGTCGCAGCAGATTCGTTGATCTGCGAAGTTATGATTGTTCCGGTCGAAGATTCGCTGATCTGCGCAGTAATCCTTGTTCAGATCGCAGCAGATTCGCTGAGCGCAGTAGTCATTAATCCGATCACAGATTCGCTTAACGGGACAGAGAGTGCGAATATGATTCACCGGATATAGCATCACAAGTCCAAACACAATCCAGTTACATAGGGAATTACCCGCTCACATAATCAATTATCAACTTCAGCGTATCTGGCTGAGGATGTCAGCTGTGTGAGCGTGAAAATTATTTGACTGGTTATCGTAATTATTTGACTCTCTATTAACTGTTTTGCGGTGGATTCCCTTGGTATCTATCATCTGTTTACACCTCAGAGTTTTGATCAGCGCCAGCGGGCCGCTAGCAGCAACAGCCTGCTTGACCAGGCAAAGGTATATCAAGCACGGTTGCATTTTTTGAGTTATGGTGTAATTGGTTAAAAATTTCTTATAAGCGACAACCGAGCCTAGCTCAACCTACCCTAGCCTCACCTAACCAAAATACCGAATATAGAGAAATGTGCTGAAAATCGTAAAAAACCGACTCGTAAATCACAAGTATCTGCCCAATAAATATAACTTGCGATTTTGGCTTAAATAACAACGTTCTTCTTGCCGAATAAGGCAAGCGAAAAATTGTGTATGCAATAATTTCGCAAAAATCGTTCTGAACCTAACGAAAAGTATATATTTCGTTGTGTTTGTTTATTATTAATTTATTGTAAACTTATCTAATATATTTAGCTGGATTAGGCTAAATTAAATTGAGCTTATTATAAAAAGTTTTCTAAGGTTCTTTTGGTACAAAATTATTAATTTTTTACATTAACATAAACGAAAAAATATATCTTTAAACGTATGAGAGAAAATTTTAGAAAGGACTTAATTTTAAATGAGTTCTTGTTAATTGACCAGTTTTAACTATTCGGCACGACACACACACACACACACACACACACACACACACACACACACACACACACACACACACACACACACACACACACACACACACACACACACACATACATATATATATATATATATATATATATATATATATATATATATATATATATATATATATATATATATATATATATATATATATACACACACACACACACATAATCTCGTAAGCGTCTGTTGATTTCACCTCCACACCATGTTCTTACATGCTATCATTTCTTTCATCATAATTTCCTTCCTGCTCCCACATCATCTGCCCCCCGTCCTCCTCACCATCCTCTCTCCGTTCCCGTCCCTCCAACCTCACCATTCTTCCCTCCGCCATCTTCACTCCATTTCCATCCTCCCTCTCACCATCACATCACCATCCTCCCTCTCACCATCACATCATCAACATCCTCCCTCTCACCGTCACATCATCACCATCCTTCCTCTCACCATCACATCATCACCATCCTCCCTCTCACCATCGCCATCCTCCCTCTCACCATCACATCCTCACCATCACCATCTCTCTCTCTCACCGTCACAGCCTCACCATCACCATCGCCCTCTCACCATCACATACTCACCATCACATCCTCACCATCCTCCTCTCACCATCTCTCACCATCACCATCCTCTCTCACCACATCCTCATCATCACCATCATCCTTCTCACCATCACCATCCTCCCTTTCACCATCATCCCTCTCACCATCACATCCTCACCATCACCATCATCCCTCTCACCATCACATCCTCACCATCACCATCCTCCCTCTCACCACATCCTCACCATCACCATCCTCCCTCTCACCGTCACAGCCTCGCCATCCTTCCTCTCACCATCACCA